CGGCCGCGGGAAGCACGCGCCCAGCCCTCCCCGGCGCCGCCGCCGCCGCTTTTCGACGGGGTCCCTTACACTCTCAGGCAAGCCCGGGACGTTCTCTCTCTGTCTCTTCCTCCCCCCCTTTTATAAAAGCCCGCGAAATGGTGGGTTCTCTCTGAGCGATCCGCTGGGGAGAGGCGTGACAACTGACGGGTTAACAAACAGAGGAGCTTGTATATCCCATTGCTAGGACCTAGAGTGGTCGAAATGACTAGATAGGCGGGGTATAAATAAAATAAAATAAAATAAATAAATAGGCTCAGCTGGAGAGCAGACTTAGGGTAACGCAACAACGATATAAACCCTATCGGTCTACTTTTGCTGGGGCTAACAACAGGATACTTACTGTTCCTGGTGTCACCATTTTGATGACGGGGGAGATGCTCGGTTAATCTGAGCATTAATGATAGCTGACAACAGTTTTTGTCGTAGACTGTCAAGTCGCTCCCAATAGGGAATGACCTCCAAGGGGTTCTGTCATTATTAGTAGCTTTGCTCCTGCCTTGCAGACTGAAGGAAGTGCTTTCCTTTATTGAGCCAATCTGTCTCAGATTAGATTTTCCTCTTTCCCTTCTGTCTTCTATTTTTCCTAGCATTATGGTCTTTTCCAATGAACCTCATCTTCTCGCAATGTATCCTAAGTACATACTCTCAGTTTAGCCAACTTCTGATGAAGTTGATCAAAGCTTGATTTGATCTACAACATAATGATTTGCTTTTCTCGTGGTCCATGGTACTCATAAAACATTCCTCCAACACCACATTTCAAGGGAATCCAATTTTTATCTGCCAGATTTCACATCTGTACAGAGTAATCAGTATGCAGATGACACCCAGCTCTACCTCTCCTTGCCACCTAAATCCAGGGAAGTTCTTTTGGCTCTAAATCAGTGTTTGGTACCATCAATGGGCTGGATGAGGGTGAATAAATTGAAACTTAACCCAGAAAAGACAGATGTGCTTTTGGTCAGTTGAAAGGTAGATCAAGGAATTGGGATACAGGCAGTACTGGATGAAATTAGACTCTCACTTTAAAAACAGGTGTGCAGCTTCGGGGTACTCCTGGATTGATCCCTGCCAGAGGGAAGTGTTGGAAAACTTCAGTAGGTCCAAAATGCAGCAGCCAGACTGCTGACTGGGGCTGGTTACAGGGATCACATAACCCCTCTGTTACAGCAGCTCCACTGGCTGCTGATAGTTTCTGGGCATAATTCAAAGTGCTGGTTTTAACCTATAAAGCCCTGAATGGCCTGGCTCCAAGCTATTTCAAAGACTGTATCTCCCATTATGAACCAGCTCTGGTGTTAAGATCATCAGGACTCGCCTTTCTGTCCTGCCAACCTCGTGAGTGCATCTGATGGGGATACGCGATAGGACCTTCTCTGATGTTGCACCTAGAGACTCTGGAACTCCCTTCCACCAGAGGCCAGATCTTTCTTTTCAGGCAAACCTTCCCTCAATAATCTAGCTACTTGTGTGTGATTTTTAGATGTATTGTTATTGCTTTTTTCCATGTTTGGGTTTTCTACCTTGCTTTTAAATATCTGTATACATATTGTTCCTAGCAAGCTACCAACATGAATTTAACCAAACTCCAGGAGGCAGTGGAAGACAGAAGAGCCTGGCATGCTCTGGTCCATGGGGTCACGAAGAGTCGGACATGACTAAATGACTAAACAACAACAGCAAATATGTAAGATGCCTCTTTATACTCATTATTCTTAACTTTAAATATAATTTTTAACTTTAAATATTGTCTTTCAGTGTCATAAGCTGCCTTGGGTTCTTTTCAAGGAGCATTGTGGAGTATCTTTATACTCATTATTCTTAACTTTAAATATAATTTTTTAACTTTAAATATTGTCTTTTAGTGTCATGAGCTGCTTTGGGTTCTTTTCAAGGAGCAATGTGGAGTAAAAATCTTTTAAATAAATAAAATCAGAAATATCATACTATGGATGATTGCAGTCTTCAGTGACACATGCTTACTCTTAAGGATCTTTTCTAGTTCCTTCATCACATTATTCTTAACTTTAAATATAATTTTTTAACTTTAAATATTGTCTTTTAGTGTCATGAGCTGCTTTGGGTTCTTTTCAAGGAGCAATGTGGAGTAAAAATCTTTTAAATAAATAAAATCAGAAATATCATACTATGGATGATTGCAGTCTTCAGTGACACATGCTTACTCTTAAGGATCTTTTCTAGTTCCTTCATCAGTAGCTCTGTCATTTTCTTTCTTCTCATGAGTGTAATCAAAGAGGGACGACGGAAAGAGCTACAATTAAACAGCTCACCTTGTTTCATTTTGGTAGACAAATGCAAACACCAGATTCTCTGGAAAAGACAATAATGCTGGGAAAGTTTGAAGGCAGCAGGAAAAGAGGAAGACCAGACATGAGATGGATTAACTTCTTGAAGGAAGCCACAGCCTTGAGTTTAGCAAGGCTGTTGAGGACGAGACATTTTGGAGACCGACCGCTCAGCCATAGGGTCGAGCATAGCAGGGCTGTTGAGGAGGAGACATTTTGGAGACCGACTGCTCAGCCATAGAGTTGCCATAAGTCGGAGGCGGCTTAAGGGCACATAAATATCCACAGATTCTCGTTTTCAGCTGCCTCTCCCAAATTCTCACCCCGAGGCACTCTGGAGGTCGGTCTAAAAAAGTAACTCTTCCAAGCAACTCCCCCCCCACACACATGGAGAGGGCTGTTGAGGAGGAGACATTTTGGAGACCGACTGCTCAGCCATAGAGTTGCCATAAGTCGGAGGCGGCTTAAGGGCACATAAATATCCACAGATTCTCGTTTTCAGCTGCCTCTCCCAAATTCTCACCCCGAGGCACTCTGGAGGTCGGTCTAAAAAAGTAACTCTTCCAAGCAACTCCCCCCCCACACACATGGAGAGCCTTAAAAATATGATTTCCTTCCTTCGGTGCTAAAATACCACAGGCCGTTCTCCGCCT